CCTGATGTTCTGATGGTTCTAACCTGATGTTCTAGTAGTTCTAACCTGATGTTCTGATGGTTCTAACCTGATGTTCTAGTAGTTCTAACCTGATGTTCTGAAGGTTCTAACCTGATGTTCTGATGGTTCTAACTTGATGCTCTGATGGTTCTAACCTGATGTTCTAGTAGTTCTAACCTGATGTTCTGATGGTTCTAACCTGATGTTCTGATGGTTCTAACCTGACGTTCTAGTAGTTCTAACCTCATGTTCTGATGGTTCTAACCTCATGTTCTGATGGTTCTAACCTCATGTTCTGATGGTTCCGTCTCCTCTGCAGCAACATCCCTTCTTCTCTGCCCACGAGGCCAAAGAAACCGACGTGGCTAGCTTTGTGAAAGTCATCCTGGGAGACTGAGCTCCACACTTCGCACCCGAGGGAGGGAGGGAGGAAAAAAATCGAAATCCAACCAACAAACAAAAAKCTCCGGTCGCTGCGCCCCCGCCCCGTCTGTCACCTGCAGGACTCCCTCTCACCCCCCACCCCTCCAGAGGACGCAGCAGAACCAGGATACCCGGTGGGAGGTGTGGGGGGTGAGACCTCCCTCACATATCATCTAAATGAATTTATGGTGTCTGTATGCAAACCCTCCCCCCTCTCCCCCCATGATCAGATCAGCTCTGTGCACCACCTGCTACTCAAAACACGATCAGAGACGACCTGGCTCCATCGTCCGGTCAAACTTTTCCTTCTTTTCTCGCTGAAAACCGGTGGAAGACGTGCAGATCGTATAAAAGATGAATGATTTCATGCTATCTGTGTATAATCTAAGTGTTTGCCTACTCAAAGCAAGTGTTGCATCAGATTATTAAATGACTGCATGTACAGAATCTAACCCCCGCTGCCTCAGACTGCCCATGGGGGACAGCTGTAGAGCCTGGTTGATAYCAGCGCCTCCTAGTGGTCATTCTTAGGTACTGCACCTCAACTGCTTTCCCATCATCACATCAAACGATGGGTTCTGGGCTCATGGCTACCTGTGTGTGCATGTGTGTGTGCGTGCGTGTGTGTATTCACTGGGCTGCACGGCRCGGAGTTTAAGGATTTATTAGATATGTTTTGTCTCACCGTTCCTGAGCTCCTCTTCTGTTCTGAGGTCAACGTTCGTCAGGATATCGAGCTGCACCAAATTACATTTCGTGCAAACACTTTCTTTTTCTAGTTGTGTTGGTATCAGTTTGGTTTCTGTTTTTYTAGCTATTTTCCCAGAAATAAAAACAAAATAAAAAAATGTGTGTGGAGACCTTTAATGTCAGTGACTGAGGCAGAAAGTTCTGTCMTCATGTGACAATCTGACAACTTTCTCTGCGCACTCTATTAATGTCAGTTCAGCAGAAACCCCAATGACCTGAAAATGATTTTTCTTTCTTTATTTTTATTTTTGGAAAGATTCAGGATGTAAAAATGAAACTGCAAGTATTTTATTGAGGAAACAGTTTTCAAGTGTCCATATATAAAAGAGTCATTTCAACACTAATTTGGTTGTTTGCAAAATTTTTTACTTTTAGTTTAGCTGCAGGAAATGTTGGATTTCATCAAAAAGAACAGAAAAGCAGRAGAGAACTTAAAAATAAACAACTTATTTAGTTATTTGTGGCACAAGGGAACTGAAAACTCATTCACGTTAAAACATGCAGCTAAATATTTTCTCCACACTTTAAACTGACGCTCTTTTTTTTTTTAATTTGAAACTGAACCAAACAAATAAAACATTTATTTTTCTTAATTCTAATTTCTAACTTTGAGTCTGAAAAGACGCTGAAAATAACCTGATAACGAACGCCTAAAGTTTTCAATTGGGGCGGGGCATAAACAGACTGGTGGGTGGAGCCTGATCAGGAGCTGACCAATCGGAACAGAGTTTTAGCTTCTTTTTCTGCTTATTCATCACTTAAAAATTTTGTTATGGATCTTTTTCTTTAAATTTAAATCTTTAATTTATTGAGATCAGTTAGAAAAACAACTAAAACTTGTGATTTTCTTCAATATTAATGTAAAGTTTGAACCACATCCTGTTGAAAAATGGCTAATGAGCTCTGAGTTTCTTTTCCACGAGCCACACTTTTACTCCTTTTTTATGTCGGAAACTTAAAACTGACAATTTTACACAAAATAAAACTAAAATGTTTTCTGATAGATTTCATTCAACTCATTAAACATCTCAGACTTGCTTATTGCTGCCGTACTTGTTGGAAAGTAAAAATGTATTTTTTATCTCGTCACACAGATCGACAGGTTTGTAGTTTTCCTCCTGCTGAACACATTAACAGACGTTTGCTGGATTTGTTGCAGCTCGTTGTTGTGATGATGCAGTCGGTCTCACAGGACGCACAACTGAATGCAGCCCTGCGTTACACACACACAACTGATGTGTGCGTGTTTGTGTGTGTGAAAACTGCCTATATTCTGCTTGTTTTCTGCACTGAGCCAATCACAACCCTCTCTCCCACTCCAACATGAAAAGGAACTGGACGTTATTTTTGTTGATG